ATGGTTTTGGCCAAGATATGCTTTTTATAGTAACTGAATACTGTCTGTGTCATCAGTACCCCTTCCCTCTTTCCCACACTCATCCACACAAATTCAACAAAACATTTTCTTCACCTATTCCTCTTTAATACATCCAGCTCTCAGGGCCAGTTTGGACAGTTAAGAGAGTGTTTCACCAAAGTGAGATCTTGCAAAGAATGATTGGCTCTTGCAGAGGTGCAGTATATTTGGTGGGAAGGGTCCCTACACAGGACATTGCTATTTTAAATTCACCTTGTTAGACAGCACTAAGTGCAACCCTCTGGGTATGTCTACACTGCAATGGAAGACTTGCAGCTGGCCCAGGTCAGCTGACTTGGACTGAGGGGACTGAGGCTACAAAATTGCATTGTAGACATTTGGGCTTGCAGTGGAGCCTGGGGTCTGAAACCCCATGAGGGGAAAGGGTCCCAGAGCCCAGGCTCCAGGAATAAGGACTCCCGGAACCCTCAAAGTCCCTGTGCAACCTCTGAAGACAGTGCAGAGTGTGCACCCCACCACAGGGGTTCATCATTCCTGGGTATTCTGGAGAAGTCTGAGGCCACAGCCACATTCCCATTTGGAGAGGCCAGTGCGGCTGTGAAAGAAAGCCAGGAGTACTCGTGGCATTCCCTGAGCGTGAGCACTGCAATAGCAGCTATTCCTTTCCGCAGGGGTGTAAGGCTGCGGGAGGCCATTGTGCACCTGCCCAAAAAGCCTTCAGCCTCCTTGTTGGCAAAGGCTGACTCGGAGTTGTGTGCTGTGCTGTTTCATAGAGACAAGTATCTGTATCATGGGTGGGGCGATGGTTAAAATTAGAGTTGTGTGAGTCTTACAGGGTTTGCACACTGAACCATCTTCTTTAATTTACAGAGATTGGAAGCGAACCAAACCCTTCAGGTTTACTTGCACATATTTCTCCCAGCTCTCTCATTAATATTCAGACTCCCAAATGCCATCTGAATCCAGGCATTGGCTTGTGCACCCCTCTCCACTCAGCTCCAGCCTACCTGCTGTTGCTACTTCATCCTCTGCTCCCTGATGAAGTCCTAGAGGTCTATGCTTGTTGTCTTCTCTTCCTCCACATGCACCTTAGGAGAGAGGGCACCAACATAGGGAGCTGTGGGCCTGATTCCTGTGGAAGGACTGGGGGGAGGTAGGGCCTGGTATGCTGCCCCCCTCATACTTGTCCAGGAGCTTCTCATCCCCAGTACCTACATAGCTGGTGACAGGTGTTGCTTGGGAAAGTGACATGTGTGTGTGTGAGAGAGAGAGAGACCCCTTTGAGATAGAAGGGGGGGAAACAGCACTGGTGCTTGACAAGGTGAAAAAGAACCATGTAGGGCTGGGTCAACTGAATGCTTAAATATGACAAATATCAGCTAATAGTAATTGACTTTGACTATTAAATATGTCAACAGCTTTTTTTATTCAGCTCACTGATCCTTGCTAAAAGATTCAACCCCATGCTCTAATATATAGTAAATTTCAGATGATTCTGGTTAAAATCTGGCTAAATATTTGAACTCTGTCACATTTTAGCAGAACCTAAACTCTGGGGCTTGTATGTTTTGCCTCTCAAAAAGCAAGAATTTTACGGTGCCTAACTCCTTTAAGCTACTTTGAAAATCCCAGCGTTAAGGAATAGTCCAAATGCATGCTGTACCCTTCTTAAGATACTTTGCAATCATTCTGTGCACCACATACAGATATGAAACTGGTAGCATTTGAGTGATTATGATAAAGCTAAGAATATTTTAGTTTAGATGAATTACAAACACCCAAACCCTATGGAACAATGCAGGAACGTGGTCATTAGTTACTTTGCTCTTGCCCACAGCATTCTTTCATGTTGTGAAACAGAAGTTGAGCAGTGGTTAATTTATGTTCATCCATGTGTCCCAGTTCTTTAGGGGTCTGAAGAATCTCTTTCTAGATGGTTTTAGTTATGTAAACCTTGAAGTCATGTCTCTGCTGTGCTCTAGATATCTGCTGCCAGAATCAGCACCAACTTTGAGGGCCAAACATGTAGGTGATGTACCTAGTGGTGTGAGTTACATGTTAGAAAATCAGATCAGGCTGGGGAAAGATGACATGATTTACACACTTGGCTGAAGGAAAGGTGGAAGGAGATCAAGAGGGGAGTATAAAATAAAGCATATGGTGCCCAGTAAGGTGACGTCCTTCTTACACCCTCCTGTTGGATGGTTTTCTTGCTACAACCCAACTTCTTGATTTGGTGAGGATGTAAATTACATGGGTTTGCACTAACTGACACCAATCCACATTCAACTACATCAAATCACCCATCCCTGACTTAATCACCATCCTTCACAACGTCTCTGTGGCTGGCCCTGCGATTTCAGATTTGTCTGTTGGTTGCTGTAGCTCACTCTATAAGTTCTTTGGCTGTCTTTGTGGCCCATGATTTATGGCTGGGTGAGGAGATTCAAGACAATGCCAGTGCTACATGATATTTGGGTACTCAAGCAATAAGACACCTGTGACTCTTCTCTGGAGACACAGCTCTATGTCGTCTTTGAATTTGGGGGGGGCTGAATCCATTCTGCAGGCTCTTTTGTAGCCATCTTTAGCTCAGTTGGCTATGTTTTAGTATTAAATTTTAACTCATAGGGATTTAGAAATTGCTCTGGACAGTGTTGTTTTAGCAGGGTTTTGAACTCTGAATGGGAAAGATCAACAATGTGTCTTGTATGCATTTTATAAGAGATGACAGACTACAGCAAGTTACTAGGAGTCTATATTAGGGAGAAATCTTGCATGTAGCTTGGATGGGGATAAGAAAAAAAATAGAGAAGGATATGGGGTATTTTTGTTCTGCAACAAGATATCTTATGGTCAGTTTATTAAACAGGTCAGCCGGAAAGGACAGCAGCTTAGTGAGTTGTGTTTAGCTGCAAGACATGCCTGGACTAAACAGAAATGTTCATTCCTGCTTAAGCCAGACAATCTCACAACTATCAGCTGTGAGCTACACCATGGACAACTGCTAGCCTATCCCTGCATTAGGGACATGTTGATACTAGTCTGTTCTGACACCTTTTATCAGCTCCAGAAAGTAGCCTTGTTCTCCTCAGTGTATCATTTCTTCTCTGCTGGGTTTTGCTAGTGTACGGTTTAAGACATGTGCCTTGAACGTACAGCAATTTACTGGAGTCTGTTCACATGTTGACCCCTGGACACTGAAACAGGAGGATGGCAGTGTAGCCTCATAACTTGAATTCCACTCCACGTTTGATTGTCATCAACATGCCTGCCGTAAACGAATGTCATTGTAATGCAGAAGTGGACTCAGCCTCTGGTTGGAGGCAATTCTTGGCTGATTGTATTCGGAAGCCACATTTGAAAAGAGAAATCTGTGTTTTGCTGATGACGGGGAGGGACCAGCATAACTGGCAGGTGATGTGGTGTCTGTCTGCAACTTCAGTAAGTCAGTGGAGGAATCAGGCTCCTTCCTTTAGTAGTGTAGCGTCTGTGCACTTGCAGCACTGTCTCCCCGATGGGGCTGGTGACATCTGCACTAAACAGGGAGGCTGAATTTGATTGGTATTATTAACTATGGTGTTGCAACACTTTTCAGTTTCCACTGGGCATTATTTTGAATGGTACAGGTGAGAGCACAACCTTTTTCATCTCCTGACATGAACAGATTCACTTAAATATGTTTCTTTTCCCTTTCCCCCAACTTTTTTTTTCCAGAGCCTCTTGACATGAAATAAACTCTTGCTGTTGTAAAATCAGTGAATGGAGTCATGAATATATTTCTTGTCCTTGACAGCAAACTGAATAGCTGCTTAACTCTGTGAGGGTACTCAGAGCCCTTGCATCCCTCTTTGCATTAACTCTGGAGAAAGTGTTTTGTTTTCAGGCAGGAGGGAAGAACAGAACTGAGACACGGAAGAGGAGGGAGGATGACTCCACGGATTCCCTCCTGCTCCTCAGCGCCAAGCCAGTCTGCTACCTCCTTGCCTGTGCTGAAGTATCCTATATGAAATGCTGTGCAGCAACGAAACGGGTTTCAGATCAAATAAGAACCGACTATTGGAGACTCCTTAGGGGCAGCATTGTCTCCCTTGTGATGAGTTAGATACAGTGTGAACCCTACCCACCACTGTAAATTGGCTCTCTCAGCATTCGTTTGTGTAGCTTTTACCTACCTGCTTTCAGATGTCACCAACAGGAAGCAACCGGAATCTTAACTTAAAGCTTGAACCAAACCCAAGGCTGTTTTGCTATTTTCAGAGATGCAACTTGTTTTAAATGTACTCCCGCCCCTCCACGTTTTGGCTTAGTGGATGCACTGAAATACTGAGAGAATGGATTGTTGCTTTCATGGTATTTCTAATCCATGCAAAATCAGCAAAGAGTGGATATATTTCCTATCTAGTGAGCTTTCCAGTCCTGGAAGATTTGCATAAGTTAGGAGAAGTATCCAACAAGGATCAGGACTTCAGCATGCTACCTGAACAGAACGACAAATTCTCTTTAAATTCACCTGGCACAAATTTAGAAAAAAAAACCTCAGAATTGTACTCAGATTAAAGCTGCTAAAAATAGCACCAATTTGATTAGTATCTTTGCACAAAAGTCACATTTACAGGGTTAGTCTGTGGACACCTCCCCCCCATCATTATTTATTTATCACATTATTTGTAAATTAATGTTAAAAGCCGCAGATGAAGCTCCAAACTGCTGAGGCTTCACTCCCGCTTCTTCACCTTCAGTTTAGTCCTTGTTCTTGGGCCAAATAAGAGAGGAACCTGAGATCTGTGTATAAAACGCAGGAGCGCATAATTTCTGGTATTGTGCATACAATTCCAAGTGATTGCAAAGCCAGTGTCTAACTTCGTGCTGTGATTTGGCCATGCAATTGTGGTAACTATACACACAAATGACTCACACCATTGCACAAACTACTTGGGCCTCTTCGGTAAACATTTGTGTGTTTTGTCTGTTTTTGCTTGTACTCCAGTAAGGTTAAAAAGTGCTCTCTCTTCTTTTGCCAGACATCCAGGACTCATCCCCTGTTGAATCTCCATGGGCAGGATACATCACTCCCTGAATAAACAACATAAGGGACCAATGTTAAAAGGGAAGGCTTTGTGTAGAGAACTGATTGTGTCCTGTATGTACCAAATCAGACGTGTTCTCTTCAGGACCCAGGGACTTCCCAATGGAATGGGAAAAGACAGCGTTTCAGTGCCAGTAGTGAGGAAGGCCTGGCAGCATTGCAGAACTGTCCAGCAGGCTTCTAGAGAGCAGTAAGCTCAGGTGTCTCCAGGCATGCACACGGCAGCCCTAGTTATCTGGCAGCAAAGACGTCATGTGCATTTCCTAGTAAAAACCACTCCTGAATTCAGTGTGTCAATGCAAAAAATTATGCTTGCTTGTATAAGGGCTTTATTAAATAGGTCTGTGAAAAATAGTGTTTTGTTTGTGCACTATCACTGATCTCTGCATTCATAATTAAGGATGCAACTTACTGTGTCCTTTGCATTCAGATTCAGATATCAAGGAGCTCTTTCTTTTTATTCTGATATATCAGTTTACATCTGTTTTAATTTTTTGTTGTCATCGCATATATATGTCAGTCTAACCCTCACATTGTTTCCAAACAGAGTACATTTACCCCCCAAAACGATTTGATTTCTGGGGAGCTAGAGACTCCTATTCTTGAGCTGGAATAGCTGAGAACTGTGACAAGGATCTGACTAGCAGGGCTGTGTGTATGGTCCCAGTGATAGGCTGGCTTTACTTGCTCTGTGTTCTTCATATTGTTTAGAGGTCTGTTGCAAAATGACAGCTTTCACAATGACAGCTACTCCTTTAACAAGCAGTCATGCTCAACAGTCATTGCTTGATTGCCAATATTTACCTTGCTTTATTACATTACTGTAAATTTTGGTTGGCTAGCACAGCCAATAGATGACTCTGACAATCTGGAACCTGAAGGGCGCTGATGAAATTAAACACCACCTTTGCGTGCCATCTGAGCCTCTGGACAGGCAAGTGAAAATAAATGTTCCAAAGGTTGTACTTTATATAGCCATAGACTTGACCTCTAAGTGCCTTAAAAGGGCTCACATACTTAAAGGTGCATTACTAGGCCTTACACTAATTCACTGTGATAGCTAAAGTGCTTTGTGTATACCACAGGAGACCAGAAGCCCTTGAGGATCCTTTAGAGCAGAGCGTTTGGGCAGTTAGCATTATTCAGCTTGAATTTTGTATTTGTAGCCAGTCATGAGTGAAAGTAGGGGTAGACCATTTGCATATTGTTTTGGTATAAAGCTAGAAAAATGCTTCCATATGGGTAAGTCATGTAACTTCGCCCTGTGTATGTTTTTCAGATACCTGAAAAACCCTAAACAAGACAAGGCCCATTTTTTGTTTTCCTAGGAGCATTCATCCCTCCTTGTGTTTAAGTTTGCAGGTCTAAGCAAGAATACTTGAGACTGATTTTAATTCTTAACTAGATGGACATGATTTATTAATTCACATTTGAAGTAACAATTGCAGTCGGGAAGAATCAGCGGAAAGCTTTAATTACACTGGAAAATATGCAAGGATGTAGCATGTCCCCATCCAGATTTCACAACACATAACTATCATAATTTTTAATTTTTTTTTTTGTAAAAATGATGATGGAGAACAGAATCCACTGGCTACCCACTCTACTTCAAAGCAGCATCTAAATCAGATTTGAAACTTTAAATAGATCATTTTCTAACTTGCTTGTTAGTGCCCAGCCATATATATATCTATATATACACACTCACTGTGAAGGGTCTTGCCTAACCCAGCTATTATTTTTACATCTGAGCTAACTTGCAGTTTCTGTGCCCAACTCAAAGAAAAAAGATGTTAAATGGTGAGTGTGCACTGGCACGTGAGCTGTGATTAGGTAATTTGGGATCACTCCACAGAAATCACATATGGGCTTTTGGGACTGGGAATTCATTCCTGTTCAAACAATGCTCAGATGGGGAAGGGAAGATCGGGAAAAAAAAAATCATAGTTCCTGAAAAGCAAAATCGCACCATTGAACAAGAAAGTAAAAGCAAACAAACAAACATCTTCCTCTCCTTATTCTGAAAAAAAAAAGAAAAGAAAAAAAAACAAATTCCAGGACAAAGAAATACTGTAGCACATATTGAATCAAAATGAGGTTACATTAACACATGAGCACCTGTAGTTATGGCTGCAATCCAACTGTGGCCATAACCCCCTGTTTTCTGTCATTTGTAACCCCTGAAGTATTTTCCCCTAGTCTGAGAGTTTCCATGCCTGGTCTCAGTTCCAAAGTGAATTTCTGCCCTTTTTTTCTTTCATTTTATTTTCATGCTTATTCTATTTTATACCTCTTTAATTCCCCTAATCCTCAGCTATCCTTTTTTTATCTGTATTCCCTCACCCCTCCTCTATCAATTGGGGTTAACTGCCCATTAAACCTGTGTTGAGATTATTATAAAACTGGTGGCTGTTAATGCTAACCTTTGCAAAGTCAAATTGTTGTAGCCTGGGGAATTTTTGATTTCTGAGCATAAATAACTCCAAAATATGTGCAAAGTTCAGACCTAGACTTCAAAAAACTCCAGACCTGAGTATGTCCAGATCTAGGGTTGTTGTTTGACCCATTATGAAGAACTAATGGGGTAGCTGTGAAATTCCGATTCTAATGAAGATTACAATTCTCAACGCAAGCCCCAAAGTTAAGGGGTTCTGGATCCATTGTTCTGTGGAAGGCCTATCTATAGGCAAAAACTGCTTCAGAGCTCATATATGGCCTCACTGAGGGAAACAAGTGCTTTAGCACTACAGAATTCTAAGGGATTGAATTGTGGGCACTTGACATTAGCCACCCAGCATGCAGAATTGTGTGCAGTGTGGGTGTACTCGTGCACCCACTCTGCAGTGCAGTTTTCAAATGATAACCAGAGAGAGGGAAATTATTCTTTTTCCTGAATATTGTGAAAGTCACTGATAAGTAATAGTTTCATATTCAGGTCTGGAAATGATGGGGTTCTAGAGTGATGAGCTAATTTGTGCCGCTCTAGCGCCGCTTGGTGATCTGTGAGCTGCTGGGCAATCCTTGAATCTTATGGGAGGAGAAGTTTGTTCCTCTTTCACCTCCTACTCCACACATACACACAACTGCACACACAGTCCCAATGGGGAGGAGACATGAAGAAAGTGGTGGAGGATCTCCTGCTTTAGGAGAGGATGTGGGAGTGCGAGATAGACCTAAAACTAATTAAAAGAGATTGAAAGAGATCCCAGCTCAGCCCCACTACCTTGGCTTGAATAGGGAGGGGAAGATCCTGATGACCCATCCCCTAGAGGGCAGGGGGGGAGAGAGAGGAGAGTCCCAAAGTGGTAGCTGGGTGGCCATCTCCCCAAGACTAGAGAAGAGAGAGTGAAGGATAAAGGAAAGCAGTTACGGGGCAATCATTGAAAGGGTAGTGTATGCTAACCAATGCACAGTTATGGTTATTTCTTGTTCTAAATATAGGTCGTTTCAGATATCACTGTGTGGTGCTGGCACATGCTAACTTTTTATTGGCAACTACTGTTCTTTAGATGGGGTATTTGGGGTAGCAGACACAAAAAGGTGAAGTGACTTACTGAAAGTCACACAGCAGGTCAGAGGCAGAGCTAGGACTAGAATCCATGGGCTTAATTCTCTGCTGATGTAAATTGACCCAGCTCCATTGAAATCTCTAAAGCTATGCAAATTTATGCCAATGAAGAATGTGGACCCACATCCCCAGCTCCTGGTCCACTGACCCAATCCACTGGAACCAAACTAGCTCTCATAAAGCAGGACAGCTCACAGCCAGTTCTCCAGAACTGTACTGCTCTCTGAATTGGATCTCACTACGTGTGTGCCTATACAAAAAGAGAGCAGCTAGTTTCCCACAATGCCCACTGATGTGCAATGTGTTTTGGTGGGCAGACTGGTGTGTGTATTTGAGAGCAATTCATTTACCACTTGGGGGAAAAGGAGGTTAACAAACAATGGAAACAAACAAACACTTTTTTCCTCACAAAGTATTTTATTCTGTACTTCTTCTAAATTAAAGTATTTGAATATTATCAATGAAATTGCAGACACAAACTCTGAGAATTGGGCTTGAAATCTAAAGTTGCAGGTGTCATTTTACCCACACATGACATTGGTAAGTTACATTAAAAGCTTTTGGATCTTCTCTCAAAACCTGATGAAACTTCATACCCCAGTACAAATGCAGAAGTACACTTCTGAAGTAAAACATGCTACAACTTCTTAAGATAGCATCAAGACAGTATAGAGAAGGATCCTGTTCACTTTCTTAAACCTTCCTTCAGAAATATGTAACTTTTACAGGGCAACAGTGTGGTGTAAAGCCCATTGTGCTCACAGCACATGTACTTATTGTTCTCACCTGACATGGTAAATCAACTTCTTCTTTCAAATGAGAGAGGAAAATAGCGTTGTTTAGATAGCTATGCTCCTTCTTGCCAGTACCTGCTAAGTGTGGACCTCACGCTATGGAACATCAAGCCTTCCTGCTACAGCAGAGCAAACCTTGTTAACAATAGCGTCAGTCTGTTCAATAGAAGTCTTCTACCTCCTTTTCCTCATCCATCCAAGGCAGGATCTATTTTTGTTGCCTGGATGAGAGTAGCATAACAATCAAGCCAAAATTGGGAGTGGTCAGCCAGACAATCGCACGCAGTGCCTCATCAGACATAAAGCTGTGTGTTACTAGAGATCCCTTAGAACTCATAAACAGGCTTCTCCCCTTCATGTGATTTGAAAAGAAGGGAGTTTTTAAAGGTTCTCTGAATGTTTATGGGTAAACAAACAAGAGGGCTAGGAGGCTATCCATGTCTGTAAATCCTCCCCCACTCCAGCGCACCAACTGAATAGCTGTAAATAAGGCAAATGCAAGACTGTACTTGAAAATAAAAGAGCAAAAGAAAGCTCTCTTCTCTGCCTGGCATGGTTTCTGACTGTGTTTGCTGTCTGACAGTGTCACTGTGAATTACAGTACATTGGGTCGTTATTACATATGTGGTGGCACAGACAGCAAGAGCAACACAGGAAATCTTATGTATTTCTTTTTTTGTCACTGAATAAGTCTTGTCCTTTTCTCCGTTGCTTTTAGATCACTATAAATCCAGCTACAGATGTTTGGAATTACATTTAAGATGTCTGACTAACTTAACCCAGCAATGTTACCATGTACCATGTACCAGACCCATCAGCTGTCTACTTGAAAAAATGCTACCCCACCAGCCTCAATAGATGGGGAGCTTGGTGGGGCTGGAGGCACTGAGACAACTCCAGTTGAACAGAGGAGGAGAATGCACTGAAAGCTCATGGGGGGGGGGGGCTCCCCTTCAGAGTCTCTAGCCACTCATTGGCTAGAGGTGATTGGT